TTTTCCTAAACCGACACAGCTCAACCGGCTGCATTTGAGTGGCTGGCAGGAGCTCGCTTTTTGTTAATAATTGAATAATGTTCAGATTCAGAGGTGTGAAACCACCTGCTGATTCCATAGCAGCAGTACCTTTCCCAATCTTATCAGTCATTTAAAATTTTCCACTAGTAACAAAACATCTTCAAATGTGATATCCTTACATTTCTTTGTTGAGTAACTGTTTATAAACCTTTCAGGAACACTAAATTCACTTCTAGACTCACATCTGCCCTTCACTCCTATATAACCTTGGGCAAATCAAGGCCCCTCTTAGGGTGTTTCACCATCTGCAAACTAAGGGGCAGAAGGGGCAAAAATATTATCTTTAAATTCCCTGAGCTCTAATATTGTGTAACTCTCTGCTTCCTTCTATATCACTTTGGGATAAGTAGAATGAAAATGAGACTCAAGGAGGCATCAGGAGACCTGGATTCCAGGTCTGTGAACTCTGACCCTGATGGCTTGGGGAAAAACACTTCGGGGTCTCCAATTCCTCTTCTTTTAAAATAAAGAAATGTGACTCTGGACAAGTACACTTTATTCAAAAGAAAACGTGTTGGTGGTGGCATAGAGTAACACTATATTATAAAAATATATGCTTTTCATGTGAGGAAATTAAAGACCAGAGGCAGGGTACATAATGGAGAGCACTTGGATGAAGGTGAATGAAGGCCATAAGAGATGCAATTTTGTCATGACAGTATACCACAGACCACCTGAACAGAAGGAGTAAAGAGATGTGTGGGAAATAGCTCTCAAGCCTAGCACAAAAAGGCATGATAGAATTATTGGAGACTTGGATTAGGACAGCCAACAGTAACTGCAGTAACTAATTCCAACTTCAAGGGACTGAACCTCTCTGGGCCTCGGTTTCTTCATGTAAAATGAAGCGGTTGGACTAAAAGATCTCTCGGGTCCCTTCCAGTTTTAAATCCATGATCCCGTCCCGGCTTTGACACATCATTTGTTACGTGGGCTTTGGCAAGTCCTTTAACGGCTTTGAACCCCAATTCCCAACCTCTATCTCCAGACTTGTTGCCACATTACTCTGGCTGCACCGCTTCCTCTTGGAACTTTCAAAGCACCACCTCCTAGAAGAGACCTTGCCTGAATTCTCCAGTTGTTACTGGAGTGTTCTTAGTTACTGGATCCCAATAACTGACCTTTCCCACCAAATTATCTTTGGTTATATATCTGTATACATCATTATTACGTTTATTGCTTGATTAATTCCAGCCCTTGACACTTTGAATAGAATCTCCTGCAGACAAGGGCTGTATATCCCCAGTACCTAGCACCAAGCCTGGCACCTGAACTATCCCCTGAAGGAAATGGGGGATCCTAAGAAGTTGATCTAAGAAAGGAATGCATTCCAGACTTGGGAACCATCTGTCCACTTAAGGCAAGGCACAGAAGCAGGAGACAGCCAAAGTATTTTACTGTGCAATAAGGAACCTGAAATTGAAAGATTTTTCTCACCTCAAAATCTCAAATGCTTACGAACTGCTGGCCAGCTAATTGCCTGAGTACACTGAGCCTGGAGTCAGGAAGACTCGAGTTCAAATTCGACCTTAAGACACAAACTGTGTGACCCTCACCAAGTCACTTAACCTGTTTGCCTTAGTTTCCTCATCTGTAAAATGGAAATAATAGAACCTACCTTGTCTCCAGGGTTGTTGTGAGGATTAAATAAGATATCTGTAAAAGCACCTAGCATATAGTAGGTGCTATATAAAGGCTGGCAGTTACTATTATATGATATTTGAAAAAAAAAACTAAGGATAAATAAGTCTGGACACTTGAGAAACATGATTTTGTTATTAGGATTTGTTGAAGATTTGTTATTAGGAAGGCCTAGACTAATCTATTTGGCTCCAGAGCAAGGATCAGTGGGAGATAATTACGCTGAGGCAGATTTAAATTCAATATAAGGAGAGACAAAAAGGACTCATGTACAAATACGTTCACAGCAGCTCTTTTTTTAGTGCTGTGATGGGATGGGGAATGGTTGAACAAGTTATGGTATATGACTGTGACAGAATATGATTATACTATAAAATATGAAAGGAATGGTTTCATAGACACCTAAGACTTGTATAAATGAACTGATACAGAATGAAGTGAGCAGAACCAGGAGAAAGATTTTATAACAATGCTGTAAAAAGAAACAATTTTGAAAGAACTCAGAACAAGGCAATGGCTCAAGGACACAATTAGAAATGTTGAAATGAAGTCAAAAGAAGTGGAAAAAAGTAGGGGAAAAATCTAAGGTATCTACTAGCAGTTAAGAGGTGCAGTGGGTAGAGTTCTAGGCCTGGAGTCACTAAAACCTGAGTTCAAATCCAACCTCAGACATTTACTAGCTACATGGCCTTGGGCAAGTCACTTAACCACTGTTTCCTCATCTGTAAAATGTGGATCATAACAGCACCCACCCTCTGAGGGTTGTTGTGAGGATCAAATGGGATAAGGGGATTCCAGAGATCTCATGGTGAGACATGCTGCCATACTCCTAACAGGAAGCTGATGGACTCAGATGATTGACTGAGACATGGCCAATGTGGGAATTTTATTTTGCTGTTTTGACTTCACATATCTGTTATAAAGGCTTTGTTTTTGTTTTTTTTTTTTTGCAGTTGATGAGGGTAGGAGGAAGAAAAGGCAGATTTCGGTTAATTACTTTAAGTTCCAATTTTTTAAAAGGAAAAAAATTAATAGGAGAAAGGAATAAGCATTTATTAAGTGTCTACTGTACTCCAGGCACTGTGTTGTGTTTTACAAATATTACTTCATTTCATCCTCACCACAACCATGAGAAGTAGGTGTTATCCCCATTTTACAGTGGAAGAAAATGAGGCAAATAGAGGTTAAATGACTTGCCCAGGATCACATAGCTAGTTTCTGGGGCTGAATTTGAACTCTGTTCTTCCTGACTCCAGTACCAGTCTGGTAACCACAGTACAACCTAGCTGCTCCATAAATGCTGACCCATTTGATCCTCACAACCACCCCTGAAGGTAAGTGCTATTCTTACTCCCTTTCTCCAGATGAGGAAACTGGGGGAAGTAGTGGTTAAGTGACTTGCCCAGAGTCGCACTGTCTTTGTATCTCCACATCTAGCACTCTATCCACTATGCCACCCAGCGACCTAGCTAATTAGGAAGAAATTCCTAACAATTAAGAGTTACCCAAAAAAGGAATCCACCAATAGAGGTAGTAAGTCTCCCATCAGAGAAGAACCATTAATCAGGAATGTTGAAAGTAATCATGATCGAGTTACGGGTTGGACTATGACCACTGACGTTCATGCCAACTCAGTATGTGTACATCTTAGTGTGAATTGAAGTCAATGTGTTCCATCTCCCGTGAGGTATTTGCATTTTAGGCTTTATCTCTAATGGCAAAGAAAAAGTTTTTGGACCCAGTTAAAAAAATATCAATCAACCCTTAGGGAAAGGCGATGGGGGAAGTGAGGATATAGAGGGGTGGGGAAGGCTAGAAGAAAGTGACTTCCAAGAAGCAACTGGTAGAAAAAGATAGTTGAAATTCACCAACTTGGATCATTTTAAATGCTGCTTTGGTAAACAGCCACGTTGACAACGGGGCACTGGACAGCAAAGCCTGTGGTGCACCTCCCGGTATTTTTTAAAGAGTGAAATTTGAGTAAAATGAAAATCAAGGGCCACCCTGAGATATCACAAAAGGAAACTCATGGTTCCACGGGCCCCGCCTAAATTCAGTTCCGCTCACTATTATTAAACATCTGCTACATGAAAAGCACTTCAGGGGCAAGGACCCTGACCTCAAGGTGACTACGATGTGAAGGGGGCAATTCCGTATACAGAAATCAACCTTGGTACTACTGTAAGAGAAAGGCTTACGCAAGACAAGTTTGAGGGGGAGGAGGAACTGGTTTGAACCCTTGAACGAAATACTGAGCTTGATCGAATGGCTGGGACAGACGGACAAGCAGGTCAGGCTGTCCGTTCCAAGGACGGACAAATGGACGGGGAAGGGAAGAGTGCGGGACCTAAAATGAGTAAGACCCGGCTCTGAACCCCCCCAGACTTGCTAGCCGTGTGAACCTGAATATGTCACCTAACCCCTCTAGAACTCAGTTTCTCCACTTGTAAAATGGGGTCCCTTCGTGCTCGAAATTCAAGATCCAAGGACGGGAATGGGGAACTTCTACCTCCTTCCCCACAAGACAGTCTCCCGCCCCCCAGGCTTCTCGGCTCTACGCTGGGGGCCCAGAGGCGGAAGCTGGAAGGCCAGTTAGGAAACCACCCCAAATTGTGTCGGGGAGAGGGGGCGGGGCAGAGCCGAGAGTCACGTGCCGGGGAGACCGTGACCTTGAGGAAGGCCAGCAGCCTCACCCCGCCCCCACCCAAATCCTCGACACCAGTTCTCCGATCTCCAGGTAGGTCGAGCACAAGCTGCTGGAGGCGGCCCAGGGCCGGGGGGTGCATAAGGGACACCGCCAGAGTCCCACGGCAAAGGCCCCCCGCCAAGGACGGCACGCCCCCGCTCCGAGACTCAGTTTCCTCTGCCGTAAATGAGGGGTCCCTTCGGGTCCCACCCGGCGGCAGCAGGAGGCAATGCTGGGGGTTGTGGGGGGGTACCTAACATCAAAGGAGGCAAGCGATGGATGGGCCTCCGACTAGAAAACAAAGGTCGCCTCCGAGCCCCGTCAGCCCGCGGCCTCCAGCGGCCAGGGCCCAGCGGGGCCGGACGGGCACGAGTCGTCGCCCACAGCGTTCTATGCGCGCGCACCCGCCGTCCAACCGTCCTCCGCCCCATCTCGAGAGCCCGTGCCTCTCGGCCAATCCACGTCGGCCACCCCCTCGCCACACCCCCGGGCGATGGCCGCGCGAGCCAATCAGCGTGGCCGGCGTGACTGGCGCGAGGCGCTCTGGGCGGAGACGGGCGCGGGACGGGGGCGGGGCCGAGGCGTCCCGGCGGCGTCCGCCCAGCGCTCTCTCACTCGTTCGCCGTTCGGTCCCGGCGAACCAGGTTCTTTTGCTGCTCTTCTGGCGGCCCGGCCGGAGTCTGAGGCACGATGGGCTCGCGGGGCGGGGCGCGAGCGTTGGAGTACCTGCTGGGCCTCTACTTCGTGATGCACATCCCCATCACGCTGCTCTTCGACCTGCAGGCGTTACTGTCGGCTGATTTGTACCCCACCGAGGTGAGGCGGACGCATGCGCGTCACGCGCGCTGTCTGTCTGCGCCTGCGCCCTGCGCTCTGCGCCGTGGCCCACCAGGCACCCTGAGCGCGCTGGGTTTGAATCCTGCAGCCGACGCGGTCGGGCTGTGTGCCCCTGGGCGAGGCGCTGCCCTTTGAGCTCCGGGCGCCCCCTCCGTAAGATCAGGACGCGTGTGATATCGGTGCCTCCCACCTCACGAGGGGATTGTGAGGAAAGCGCTCCGCAGCGTTTCCCTTAGCCCCCCTTCCTCCCGGCCGCACCCGCAAAGCCCAGGGTCACCCACGACCCCCACCTTTGCCCCAGGGCACCCCCGAACCCAGCCTTCGTCCCAAGGGCCCCCAAAAGGCAGCCTTGGCCCCTCCCCCCATGCCCCGTCCTCACCCCGACACCCCCTCCCCCCAAAGGCTCAGCAGGGCCTAGGACACTCTGGTGTTCTTTGAGCCGTCCCCCGGTGGCACTCGCTGAGTCCGAGGGAACTGGACCTTGTCCACCCGTCCAGGCTGTCACGTGGAAGACTGACCACCCTGCCCCATCTCCCCCGAGGGATCAGGGTCCCGGATTTCTCGTCTGACCGCCCATTTATCAGGCGCGGGGAAAGCTTATCCAATGGTACAGGAACGAGGTCCCCAAGGGCCTGTTCCCCAGGCTTTGGAAGGCGCCCCTACCCCGCTTCCCTTGATTTTGGCTTCAGCTTTGGGGCACGGGCCTGAAAACCTTGATCCCAACCTGTCTCCTTTGGCCCGCATCTCTACCAGACCTCAGTTTGCTTCTTCCACTGTAGGCTTCCTATTACAGTAATTCCTCCCAGGACAGGTCCCGCGGTTCCTGGCCCTCTGTCGGTGAGCCCTTGAGCTCGGGCACATCGCAGTTAATAGACTGGAGAGTGTCTCTGGCCCGAAAGGAGGCACACTGGGGGATCAGCTGGGCTGGTGCATGGGTGAAAGACCTACACTATAGGACCCATAGTCTAAGCCTCTCCCCATGGGTAACACTTGGGATCAGCGACAGAATTGGAAGGGACCTGCCTACTGCAGAAGGCTTTTTACAGCTGAGGACACTGAGGCTGAGAAGGGAAGTGATTTTCAGGAGGTCACAGAGGTTCTAAGCATCAGAAACAGGATTTGAACCCACATGCTCTGACTTCAAAGCTAATGTTCTGACTACAGTACCCCTCTCCTGGCCTTGCCACTCTGAGGAAGCCTGTGGACCTCCACTCAAAATATTTTAAAATAATGGAAGGAAATGCCAAATTTCAGTTAGAGGCTAATAACACTGAAGATGTCGTTTTTTTCTCCCCGTCCTAGTTCACAGACCCTTCAGGATCCCATGTTAAGAACTCCTGCATTAGGATCTCAAAAGGACTTTCAACTCCAGAATTCAATTAATAGCATGTTCTTCTCAGCCCATCAGTCTGTCTTTCCTCATATTTATACTTATTGAGTCATTTTTCAGTCGTGTCCAATTCATTGTGACCCCATTTGGGGTTTTCTTGGCAGAGGTACTGGAGTGGTTTGCTATTTTCTTCTCCAGCTTATTTTACAGATGAGGAAACTAAGGCAAGTAGGGTAAAGTGACTTGTCCAGGGTCACACAGCTAGTAAGTATCTGAAGCCAGATTTGAACTCAGGCCTGACTCCAGGCCCAGCACTCTATACACTGTGTACTTAGCTACCCCAGAGTCTGGGGTTCAAACCCCCAAAAGTGCTTTCCATAATGCCATGCTGTGTGCTAAATGCTAGAGACAAAACAGACAAAAGTGAACGCATCTCTGCCTTCAAAGATCTTACATTCTAACGGGAGACAACATGCATATGTAAAAACATGTGTATAATGTATACAAAATGAATACAACATGGTTATGGGAGGGAAGGCAGGACTGGATCAGGCAACACTTTCTGTGATTGCATTTTAAAGGAACTGGAATTCTTAAAGGTCAAGGTGAGGACAGTGCATGTTGGTTAGGCATGGGGTGCTCTCCTCTGCCTGGCAGATGGGATGTCTGTCTGGCTGGAGTGGATGAAGGGCAGCAATGGGGAATGAGGCTGGAGAGGTGTTGGGGCCAGCTTGTCCTGGGAGGTAGAGGTGCTGAGCTCCTGGCAGAACCTAGTATGGGGAGGGGAGCAGTGCAGGAGAACACTGGAGAGGCAGGAAAGGGTCAGGCTTCAAAGAGCCTGTTGCCCAACACAGATGGAGCTACAGTAAACGCTGCGACTAGGGAGCCCTGGGAGTTTGTAAAGCAAGGAGCTGCTGCTTGGGCCAGGGTGGAGTGAAGTGATAATTCAGGGCTGGATGAAAGAGGTGGGGAAGATGTGCTCTCATTACCAAGAAAGGCACATGAACAGGAAATCAAACCATCTTCCTAGGAGCCTTTTACAATAGCTTAGTGAGTGAGGTGGGGAGGGAGCTGGAACTATTCTCTCTGGAGTAACTTGGTCTGTCTGGGATCCCCAAGCCACTTGTGGAGCTGAGCTTAAATCAGCAGGACTTTTTTTCCTTCACCCTAGTCTAAGATCAGAACCAGCACGGTGTGAGTAATTGATTGACAGCAAGAGAATTCCACAGCTCTTTGTAAGTTCCATTAACAGCTGGAAGCGCCTTTAAAGTGCCTAACAGAATTGCAGATGACTAGTGGAAGGCACAGATCTAGTAGGAGGGAGTTAGGTTAGGAGTCAGGCTGCTGCCAACCTGCTGTTAGAGAACTCGAGGTGGGAGGAACTCTGGATTGTTCTCAGTACCTTAAAATTAAGATGCTAAACTGGTAAGCTTTGCTCTATGCCATATAGGTGTTTCTGGAAAGTCCATTTAAGTTGAAGCATTTCAGATGTCTTGGTGAGTTTGAGTTTGTAGGCCTCTAGGGTGAATCCTTTTGTAAGGCAAATCACCTATAATTTTTTGTGAAAATCTGGATTTTCAGTTAGAGTTGCTTAGAAGCAAAATAACACCTGCACAGATAGGTTTAGCATAATATCATCATTAAAAGATTGAATCAAATCATTAATCCAATTAAAGTAACATGCAGGCTTCACCATAATCCAAGTCAAACACAGAAGTCAGTGCTGGAGGAGCAGAGCGCACTAATAAGAGAAGGGAAGTAGTCCGACCAGTCTGGACTCAGTTTGGAATCGGGCAAGAAAATTACTAAACATAAAAATGCCCATAGCAGCAATCTGTGGTAGCAAAAATTATAAACCAAGTGGGAGTCCATCAGTAGGGGAATGCCTGGAGAAAAATGTGGTATGTGAACAGTGCGTATTATTGGGCAAAAAGAAATGAAAAATGAGGTATTTGGGGGAGTAGAAGATTTTTGTGAGCTGATGCAGAGTGAAACAAACAGAGCCATATACACTGACTACCACAGGCACTAAAAGGAAGCTAATCTCTGAGTAATTAAAATGTTATTTGGACACGAAATAAAGGAAACTATCTTCTTTGTGAAAGAGTTCTCGGATCTACCTGCTGGAGACATTTTCAGATGCCTTGCCATTTCTGATGTCTGCCCCTTGTGGGAAGGTCTTTTAGTTTTTATCATGAGAGTTATGACATATGGGTACGATCTGTGTGCAGAGCACAGTTGGGTTCTTAATAAATGTTTGTCAATTGATTGATAAAAGTTTCTCTTTAAAGATTTTCCCTAAGTCTAAATTCCTTACCTTAGTCACTTCACCCTTCACCTACATTCCGGAGAAACTTGCCCAACGGTCCAGCTTCTCTGCACTCAGTTCTATTGTGAATTGAATCTGTACCTTTGTAACTTCGCCCACTACCACTTGACTCCAGTTCAAGTTGCATCAAAGCTGTTTCAGACTTCACCCATCACCCAAGTCTGTAGACTAGTAACTGTCACCTGAGGATTATTCCCATCTCCCAACTAGGAAATTATGGGAGGAGCTGAGGTCACTCAACCCACCTCCCCATTAAAATATCTGCCAATTGGGATTGTCTTACGTTTGCCAGCAGAGGTCCAAATGATGTGCTGTCAGGTCAATCTGAAGGAAGATACACTTAGATTTAAAAGACCCTGTCAGCCATCACTCGAGGTCTTTAGTTATTGAAATATGCCGTTGACCCAATTTATTGGTAACTGCTCGTGTAACTAATAAATTGATCATGCTTGGACCATTGTCTCTCAGTTTACCTTAATTTTCAGACGTGAAAGAGAGGAAGTCAGAATTGTGCTCTGAATTTAAATTAAATTAGGTTAAAATTAGATTGGATTTCAGATCATTTATAGTCAAATTGTAACCTCAACCTCCATAATTAATAATTTTGGGATTGCAACATGGTTTGTTTCTGGGTGATCCCTCTTAAGCTAATTTCCTTACTCACTAAGCAAGTCTATACTTGTCCAACTTGTTCTTTATTTTTCAATGAAAAAATTCTTCTGCATCATATTGGTGATATCATCAGTATAGGAAGGACATTCCATCTACCAATGCATTGCAATGTATCATCTTAGCCATTGTCTGGGCACAAAAAGGTTACTGCCCAAGACCCCACAGCCAAGTGCATGTTAGAGGTCATTTTCTTCCAAACTGCAAGGCCAGCTCTCCAACAAAGATGCCTTTCCAAAAATCAACAGGGGGAATATCCTTGAATTTTATAAAGTGCTAAATTTATCATTTGATGCTGTCTTTATTTCCTGTAAATGATGCCGGTTTTTTCCCCTGATTTTTATAGCAAACCAAAGGAGGTTAACAGGGACAAAGTGTCCCTGACACCTAAAAAAGAGGTAGCTAATGCCTGCCCTTGAACTTTCCTCTAGTTCAGACACCATCTAACTCAAATGGAATATTTGTTTCTCCCTGCCCCCCACTCTTATTCTCAGTGCCAGCATGACAACATGAATTCTTCTTCTTTGCTAAGGCAAGGAAGTTAGTTGGTAAAGTCTAAAATAGAATTGATGCCCATTCCTTCCACATCCTAAACTCTGATTCATGTGGTCAAAAGGAGAGCTTGGTTTTTTCTTCCAAAATATGTCCTTGACCTTCTAAGGAAAGTATGATTTAGGGGAATTGGTGGGCCAGGGGCCCGGCGGGAGTGGGAGGGGTGTCAGCAGCAGTGCATGGCCAAGTTTGTGGGATTAAGTGGCTGCTCAAGGCCAGCTTCGTGCTGCAGCTGTCAGTGCCTTATGGAGGTTCCTTCAGGTCTGAAGTCTCACCATTGGGTTTATTTTCTAAATTTTTTTTATTATAAACTTAGCAATCATCCACAAACATCCCAATAGCCAGAAAACAAGAGAGCATTGTATATGAAACGATGAATTATGTACATTTTGTGTTTTAAAAACTTAACAAGGATGTAACCAAATTGCTCTGTGACCCTTTCTGAATTTTTTATGGATTTTAAAAAAATGTTACTGGTTTTTTTTTTCTTGGCATTGGTTATTTACAAGCTCAGGAACTATAGCTGCAGCAGATAATCAGAATCTGAGGAACCAATCTGCACTTACTTCCTTTAAGATTATTTCTATACAGTGACAGATCATTGTTGTTCTGCTGAATGACAGTTTGGGGGTATTTATCAGTACTTGCTGTGTGCATCACACCAGTGGAAGCAATTGGAAAGCCAATTTAACATTAGAGAAGGTTGCCTGGTGAGTGGGGATAACAATAGCACCTGCCTCACCAGTTGTGACAGTCAAAGAACCCATGTGCTGGCTTTGGGCATGTAAAAAGGTTGTATGCTAGTTGCTGTTATTATCGAGTCATGGAAAATAACCTGATGCATCCATTTGCCATCTGATAGGGCCGTATTTGTGGGCAGCTATTGGGTACAGTAGATAGATTGCCAGGCCTGGAGTAAGGAAGACTCATTGTCCTGAGTTCAGATCTGGCCTTCGACATTGGTTGTGTGACCCTGGGCTAGTCACTGAACCCCATTTGCCCCAGTGTCCTCATCTGTCAAATGAGCTGGAGGAGGAAATGGCAAACCACTTCAGCGTCTCTGCCAAGAAAACCCCAAATGGGGTCATGAAGGGTCAGACAGCAGTGCACAACAGCAGGGTCATATTTGCCATTTAAACTGGATACTTACTGTAGAGCAGAGCACTTGTTCCCTGGCACAAATTTTTAGGTCTCCTTTTTTTAGACTTCATGAAGATCTCCACTCTTTCACCAACGTATTATGAACAACTAAATCACAACTTTTTTTTTTTTACATAAAGTTTGCAATTTCAGGATACACCCCTCCTCTTTTTTTTGTTTTTGTTGAGGCAGTTGGGGTTGAGTGACTTGCCAGGGGTCACACAGCTAGTAAGTGTCAAATGTCTGAGGTCAGATTTGAACTCAGGTCCTCCTGACTCCAAGGCCGCAGCTTTATCCACTGCACCACCTAGCTGCCCCTATCCCTCCTCTCTGGATGATGTGAAGGACACTGACCTCTGGTTGGATTTGAGAGTTACTCTCATCTAAAACAGCCCATTGACAAGCCACCTTTCAGGGTGGGCAGTTCAACTGACAAATCATCCGTTCTAGAGGGATTCTTAATGAATTCCACTTGACAGCACATTTTTCTGGTTTTTATCCCCAATATGTAGCCCATGATGGACTTGCGCCCAACCCAGAATTCCACTTGAGTTGTTTAGGGCAGGTATGAATGAATGGCCAGAGTTCATTTTTGTCTTTGAGGGCATTGACCTCACTCATGCCCCATGGGGTCCCATTTGCCCTCCTGTAATTTTAACCCAAAAACTATCAGGACTGAGTTATTTACCCTAATAGATCACCCAGATCGTGCCAGAAAAGGTGCAGTCAGTACAGAGGCCAGCGCCTGTCTCTGAAGAAGCTGGTCAGTGAGCTATCTAGTAAAAGGCTGGCCAGGCAGGTGACTGGAAGCAGGTCCTAACCTCTTGTCTCTTTCAGTTGACAGACATGCTCAAGTGGTACATCCAGGAGTTTAAAGACCCCCTGATGCTGAACCCTCCAAGCTGGTTCAAGTCCTTTCTCTTTTGTGAGCTTGTGTTCCAGCTGCCTCTCTTTCCCTTTGCAGCATATGCCTTCTTCAAAGGTTAGTAAGCAAGGGGGGAAGGGTTTTCAGTGATTATGTCCTGAAACCTCCTTTTTACTCAAAAACCCCTCTTTCCAAAGTGTGTTTGTTGGGAGGCTGGGGGAGGTGCCAGGAACTTTGAGGGGGACCAGAAAATACTCCTGAAAACAGGCATAGGAGGCAAGGCAATAAAAGGGTTTAAAGGAATAGGAAGAGAAGCTGGGGGGGAGGGTGTCGGTTTTTTGGAAAAGAAAGGAGAAACAGCAGAGACCTGGTGGTCTCATGAAGTTGAAAGCCCTGAGGGAAGAGAACAAGCGTAAAATTGAAAGGGGGTCTGGAAAGTCGAGCGCTAGCCAGGATCCAGGTTAGATGGCTGTGTGTGGCTGCCACTCATTGGGCCCTGCAGACAAGGCACCGTAGGCCTAGCTCACACTTGTTACAACTCGTGGCCACCGGGCTCGAGCTACCCAGTTTCCGTGGTTTTGTAGCTGGGCTTTCTTTATGAACAGTAGCATCATGCTATCCCTAGCCTGAAGTTAATATTTTAAAATTATTAATGTTCCCATTTCCTTATAATGGCACCAAAAGGAAGACATGCCTAGCTAGCCATTAAGAAGAGGACATGATACTAAGCTGAAGCAGCCTTAGAAAGGCCTCTGGCATTGGCACGTTTCCTGGTGTCGGTCTGTTGCCAGGCTCCGTGGCTGGGTGGTGACTGAGGCCGTGTCTTTGCTGACGGAGCTGCCTTTCCATCGCTCGCCCGAGGTTCTCTCCTCCTCTTAGATCATGATTCCCAGGGAGGCCACACACTGCTGTTTGGGGAATTTTTTGAGAAGCATTATACGTAAACATTGAAGTTCTTCCCTTCTGATTCTTTTAGGAAATTGCAAGTGGATCCGCATCCCCGCGATTATCTACTCGGTTCATACAATGACAACGTTAATTCCAATTAGCGCCCACATCCTGCTTGAGAGTTTCACCCAAGGACCTAGGACATTCCAAGAACGCCTCAGCCTTCTATCCATCTATGCTCCGTACTTCTTCATTCCACTCATACTCCTGTTTTTTATGCTTTGGAGTCCTTACTACAGCACTGACGAGAAAAGGAAAAGGAAAACAAGGTAAAGAACAGCTGGCAAGGGAGGGAGAGCCACTGCTCCTTGTGTGGGCTGTCTCCCCAGGCTCCCCTTGAAACACATCAGCAGCACCCGCCCACAACAAGACGTCAGGTGGGGGGTCCCGTGTGCTGAGGGAATTGGGAATCCGACTGATCCTGTGAAGATGGCCAGGGGGAGCTGCAGGGAAATAGTACTGAATACACAGAGTGCCTCAACTGCCATTTCAGGATTTACACCACCAGAATCCCCAGCACAAGATTCTTTGCAACTGTCTAATCAGTCAGGTTCTCAGGTTAGTTTGGCCAGTAATCTGAATGACCAGCTATTTGGTGCTCTTCTCTCCAAGCCATCTAATGGGACTGGTTAGATTTCCAATTCTTCATGAAGTTGTTTTTCCCCACCCAAATCAGACCAAACTGGTGCACACCACCTGCTCTCCTGCTAGCCTTGTAGGCCCACGGGCCTAATAAACCTGAGTGCCTCGACATCCTCGGCCATCACGCTGTACTTTCAGAGCCGGTTGTAAAGGGTTGTGAACTACCCCCCCCCCCCCAGGCACTTCTCCAGTGGGAATGGGATTCTCTAGGTTCATTTTTTTTTTTAAAGGGAATTAACATTCATTGGAAAGGGCTTTAAAATTTTTCTTTAAGCAGGATCCATTCCCATCAAATTCTCCCATTAGAATTATTCTGACTAGTGCTTCTGTTGAGTCTTACTGATTTCCAAGCATCCCAGGGCTTCTAGCTCTTCAGCTCACGTGACCCAAACCCTGCTTTCCAAGCCGTGTCATTTATAACCTGCTGTGCTCCGTGTCTTGCCTCTCACCAAGAAACTCATCTTTTCTATCACAATTGAAGTCTCCACCTGCTAATGGAGATGAATGATAGCTGCTCACCATGTTCTGTTACCCCTGCAAGTACTTGGAAGTAGTGACCTACGCTACCCTAAAATTTGCTCCCCAAAGCTAAGCTTGCCATTCTTCAGAACAGAGTGGAGCAGGCTCCAGTTAGCACTGCCTCTGCTGTGTGGCAGCTCCTGGTGACCTGGGCGCCGGTGCATGCCGCACGCAGGCTGGCTCCCCCAGCCCCCAAGACCCTCCCTGTGGAGGGCTTCCCTCTCTTCGTGAGTCTTCCACATTTGTCCAGCTCCCGTCCTGGAGGCACCCTGGTGGTGTTCTTGTCATGCTGCCACAGGATGGATTCCTCCCAAGCCCCTACCTCTCCTATGGTCCTTTTTCTTTGGGAGCAGTAAGCAAATCAACCACCATTCCTGGAAAAATGATGTCAGTCAGTTACTCTGGTTCCATTCACCATCCCTGTGACTTCCCAGACCAAAATACTCTTCCCCGGCCACTACTACCTGATAGGTGTTATCTTCCTATGTTAGAATGTAAGCTCCTTGAGGGCAGCCTTTGTTTTTTGTATTTGTATCCCTAGTGCTTATTCCAGGGCCTGAGGAAGCACTTAATAAAGACTCTCTCATTTATTCATGATGTGTTGTGACTTCCTGATAAAATGCTTCTCACAAATTGGTATTTGCTTTAATTGTTGAAAACTGACTCTCGTGTAACTAATTCGAATAAAGATGGCTGCTGACCGTGACTTCTTCTATGGATTACTAGGGGAGAAAGAATTTTTCAGTGAGAACTGCAAACAAGTATTCGAAGTACAACAAGCAGATAACAAAAATCTAGAAATAATAATTTATTGCCTTATTTCAAAGTGGTAGGTGCTTCAAAAAAGGACTGGTGTTTACAGATGTGGCTAGAGGTCAGAGACTGACAACACAGGAGAGCCCACAGCAAAAGATAGTCAGCCCGGCCGTCCTGCCTTCTGGATAGGCAGGTCCTGGTTACTGCCACCTGGCTACAACTGGGCAGAATTCTAAAAAAAGGTTTGTTATTGCCTTTCAAGAAGACGTTCTATTTGTTACGATCCCAAATCGCATATATGTGCATGTGGTCATCAAGTTTATTGGAATGATAGGGTTGAGGGGGGTTTTTGGTGGGTTTTTTTTTAAATAGGGTTTTTACTGTAAAAATCAGTTTATTTCTGAAAAATAAATTGGTCAATAAATTCATTTTGTTCTGCTTCTACTTTACACAAAGCTTCATATTCAACCCGATACCTGAAAGACAGAAAATTGTTAGAAATCCTAAAGAGGGATGAAATAATGGTAAACAAACCACTTGTCTACTGTGTGCACATGTTATGGAAGCAGGGTGGTCACATGATTCTGAGGAAGCAAGAAAGTTCAGCAGTTTTAAAATAGGCAACCATTAAAAGGAGTGAGAGCAAGAAAATAGAAGGAATTAAGTAAAGGATGGAAAAGAAATACATCACGATCCCAGAACCTATCTACCTTAAGCACATTTCTTTCCACGATATGCTGGGACAACTTTCAATCTACAGTATAGACAGCCATAATCACTCCAAACTAGTCTTTCCTTCTAAGCTTCCCCCCCCCCACTCTTTGACAAAGTTAAAAATAAGTTTTCCCAAACCTAACACTGATAATGACCAAAAGGAGGCTCTGAGAGTACACTCCCTCTTTGTGAGAAGGGGGGATTATGGATGTGGGACACCCGCACATGCCAGTCGGGTGATACGTTGGGTTTACTGATGCATTTTTTTTCTCTTATTTGCTATAAGTGATAGCTCACTGGAAAGGAGAAGGATGAAAGAAAGATTGAGAAACTATAAAAAAAGTCTCAATATAAACAAGAAAAGTAACAAGTAATGTTTTCCATCAAAACCCATCTTTAACTAGCCAAGAGTTCTAAGACTCCAGTGGAGAAAAGAGGGCATTAGAGTGGGCACTGCAGAGCCTACTAGCAAAACTGGAGATTGCTGTAGAACGAGCTGAGGGCAGGAACGCTCCTCTCTTAATTCTTACCTTTCTAGCTGCATTTTCTTCTCTGCTATCAGAGCCTGGAGCTGCTGCTGTTGGGCCTCCCTTTGCTTTGCTATGGATTTGAGCAAGTTGCGTGCCCCGATTGCCTGTGCAGACAGAGGATTAAGAAAACTGAGCAACAATTTCCACCTGTATTCAACCCCCTCCCCCAAAAGCAGACCGTGAAAACAGGATGAACAAAGAAAGTGGGGGTCATGACACAGCTCCTCTACCAAAAACTCGATGTGATGGAAAAGCCATTCAGAGAATCAGAGGAGGGGAGGGTGAGGGTGGTCTGCCTTTGGTTTAACCTATCATCAAGGAAAGGAAGGTTAGCTTGGAAATCAAGCACTGCGCCTGCCTCATGATGGCTCTTTAAAACCGATGGCATGGGGCAGAAAGGAAGGAGAGGACAGGAAAGGTTGGGGAACCGAGGCTTCGTGAAGACACCTCCATCTGACATTCTAATCTTACCTTCATCTTCTCATTTTCAGCTTCTTTTGCGAGTTGGTCAACAAGCTCAATTAAGCCGCCTACTATTTTCTGAAACTGGCCGATTTCTTTCAGGGAAAGAAAAAAAAACGTTTTATTTCCTCTCAATTAGAGCTCTTCAGGCCATTTTTTGCCTGGGCAGAATCTTGTGCACCTCAAGCTGGTGAATTTGATGCCTAAATGGTTCTGGGACAGAAGCTTTCAGTGGTGATCCCTTCAAGCTTGTGGTATTTTCTTTTTGCCGAGCCCCACCTGCTAGGGTAGCACCATCTATTCTAGTCCATTAAAGGTTTCTTGTGGGAGACTGAACTTCATTGTCAAATGTGCTCTACCCATGTAACCACACAGAATTATGTTAACCTTTACACTAAAGAACCCAATCCTTTTCTTCATGTATTCCTCCATTTAGCTTTTAGATTTTGGCAGAAGGAACAGGGAAAGGCAAAGATTACCCTGTGGGAGGGGGGGACCTGAGGTCCAAGTGAGTTTACGTGACTTAGCCAAGGTCATGCTGAGAAGGCACACGAGGGCAGAGATAAGACTAATACACACATCTGCAGATTAAGAAATCAAATATTAAGATAAATCTGAAGGAAATACAGTTTTCTGGCCAGGCCTGGCTGTTACTGAAAAAGAGCATAAGGCCATGGTTTGTGGTTGGAGGAAACACTATTCAAACTAAGCTTGTGGGAAAGAAAGATCTATCTTCAGTCAAATAAAGTTAATTTCTGATCTCTTGATCAGCCTGGAAGAGGCCAGTGTAAAATAGAATGAAAACCCAGCCCCACCTCCCATGCATTAAGAAATGTGTCAAGAAAGGATGGGCAGTTGTCACGGTGATGCCAACTACCTAGGAGCCTGAGGTGAAGTGGACTATGCACTAAGTTTGGCATTAATATGGAAGAGGTGGGGAAAGAGAGTAAACAAGCCCAGGGCAGAAACAGAACGGTCCAGACCCCTGTGCCTCTCAGTAATGGGATCAGACCCAAAGCAGCCCTGGAACCAAAGGGGGCTCAGTCTTTAAGAAAGAGAAGAGAAGGATGGGTAGGGGGAGGCAGCGTGAGCATGGGCAATAGCCCCCTGACTGCCTTATAAGGAGGAGGGCATAAGCCTTGGTTTCTGGGACTGGGAGAGGCAGCTGAAGGAGAAAGGCCACGAGCTACTCACTGTCCACAAAGTCCTTGCATTCCTCCTTGAGTTCTGTGGTCTGCTGAGTCACCTCAGGGTCCAAGACTCGAAGCTTGTTCAGCTCATCAAAGTGCAGGCCTGCATCACCCAGGATGTCTTTAGCCATGGCTGGAAATAGAAAAATCCTATGCCTCACCTACTGTTCCATGACCAGAGGAAGGTCCTCCACCCCAACACAACACTGTGCATCAACACCAAAATGCCAAGGCTACTGGAACAAATTCTTCTCATCTACCCATTCTGGCTAGGGAAGTTCAAAGCAACTCGTTCACCTTGGCCAACTGGCCCTCAACGGTTCAGGTGTTCCCTCTACCCTCCCCCTCCCTCTGCCTCTACCTTCCCTCGGAGCACAGAAGCTGCAGTCTGAGGGAATGATCCTGGCTGGGAGGAATGAAACGTGCCACTAGGAGAACAAAGGGCAGGGAGGAATAAAGTCCACTTGCCGGTCGAAGGCACCACCCCATGCTGAGTGATGACTAGGGAACGGGTTCAGTGAGACCTGGGATCTCAGAATCCCTAAAGAAAATCGCTGCTACAGTGTAAATCATGGCAGGTTGGGACTAGCTGTACTGCAATGTAACAAGGCACTGCTGGCCTTACAGCAGGTGAGAGCCCCAGGGAGGGACTTGCCGGTGTATTTCCAGGACGGTCCAGAAGTGGGGGTGCTCTGATGACAGAGGACTGATAGCAGACACTCCATCAAATTACCCTAGCCCCTAAAAAACATGCAACACCCTTTGCTCTCAAGCTGGGCTCACCAAGCCACCTTCAGATTTGGGTACTTGGTCTCCAGAGCAAACAAGAAGCAGTGCCCTGCGCAGACAAGCAGTATGGCTTCTGCCACTACAAATTAATAAACTGGCATTCTGGATTATAAATCAATGGCAGGAGTTGGGTTTCCCCAGGACTCAGCCATTCGTTGGCGAACAGCTAACTTGTCCAGCTACCTTCTTCTGACATCAGCTGCTCTTCATGGTTTCAGCTCCAGGAACATCCTGCCTCCCGAGGAGAAGCTCATCCCCTGAATTCTTATGTTGATAACACCTCCTCAGCACCTTCAGGTGCCTCTCCCCGAAAACTGGAGGGCTGGAGGCCAGAGCAATGAATTCCTCCCAAGGCCTCCCTTTAAAGGAGGCTCAGACTCTTCCAGTTCACTCCCTTACCATCAGCTGCTTTGATTGGTTTCAACTCCTCAAGCATCGGGCCTCCATGCCAGGTAGCCCAGAGGGGTTCCACCTTTTGTGTAGCATCTCCCCCATTAGACTGTAAGCTCCTTGAGGACAGGGACACAGTGCCAGGCACACAGTGTTGTTGCTGTTCATCTTTCATTTTCAAAGACCAATGACAACCCCAGGTAATGTCTTGACTTGCATGAGAATTGAATTTAAGCAAAGCAGTCGCTCGATGTCGTCAGCCTCTCTTGCAGGGTCATCCAAGTCTAGTGGCAGGACAAAAGTCAGGACGACTGGTAATGACCCAGGAGGCACGACCTTGGCGTCTTCATTGTCTGACCAAGGTCTAAGCACTCCATTGCTTCATCTGCTTTCATGGCTGCTGGAACAAATTGTTCTCATCTGCCCATTCTGTCAGGGTAAGTCTTCACATACTTGGGGTAGACATCCCCCTAACTCAGGGATGGGTTTGAGGACTGTGGGTCACCCTCAACCTCGTTTAGCCCATCTGCCAAAATGGTTGACAGGGCACGATATAGCTTCTTGGAGCCAGGTAAACCCCAAAGGTGGATGAGCAGCCCTGAAAAGGGCTCAGCAAGCCCTCCCACCAGAGGTGCTGGTCCTCCGTGAACATCCCAGACAGCCCCAGGCATATAGTTGTCGTTGTTAAGTTGTTTTTCAGTTGTCTCCACTTCTCCATGACCCCATTTGAGGTTTTCTTGGCAAAGATACCACATCGGTTTGCCATTTCCTTCTCCAGATCATTTTACAAATGAGGAAACTGAGGCAAAGAGGGTGAAGTGACTAGCCCAAGGTCACACAGTAAGTATCTGAGGCCTGATTTGAACTCAGGAAGATGAGTCTTCCTGACTAGAGCTCTATCCACTGCACCACCTAGCTGCCCTTAGGCACTTAGTAGATACTTAATAAATGTTTATTGACTATTGGCTAAAATGAAATTTCTGAAACTGCAAAGCTGAAGACCAAATCCTGGACCTTTGATGATTCCAGTGAGGTTGTTATTACCCCAAGAAGCACAGCCCACATGGTCACATGTGCCAGATCCCTGATGATTTTTTAATGTCAACACAAGACACAAAAATGAAATAAAAAACTGAATCGGCCCCTCTACTCACCCTTTTTATAGGGTAGAGATGTTGAATATTTACTGGAGACCCCGACAAGAGAAAAAGGCTCAGAACAACTTTTTTCTTTTTGGGGCAGCAGGGGCAGGCAATCTGGGTTAAGTGACTTTACCCAGGGTCACAAGTTATTAAGTGTCTGGGGCCACATCTGACCTCAGGTCCATCCTACTCCAGGGCTGGTGCTCTATCCACCTAGCTGCCCCGCCGAGTGATTTTGGAAGTTCAAAGCACTGAAGGAGCCTCTGACCATCAATGGGTCAGCTGACTAATGCCAGACCCCTTCCCCCAATAGCCCCACAAAGGTCTCCCCGCTTAGATCCTCACCTCGTGACCTCAGCTCTCCAGCTCACAAGACAGCGGCCGTTCCCCATGCCCAGCATGCTCTCTCTCCGGAGTCACCCGCCCCCACCCCAAGGGTTAACATCCTTGACTGCCCTAATTCTCCTGACCTGTGCGCACGCTGTCCCCACCCCCACCCCAGTAAAAAGTAAACTTTTTTTTAAACTGGGCCTCCCTGTCCGCCTCAGGCCGGACGTCGAGGGGCCCCTGCTAGGGTCCCCCCGCCTCCCCCCCTCCCAGGCCCCCGGTGGTCACGGATCAGGCTCGGACCCGGGGCAGCTCGGACCTCGGGCCTGACCTCCAGCCACACTTGGTGATTTAACTGAAGCGGGTCGGCACCTGCTCCAAAGCCCTGAGTCAGCCCCCGAGGGCAGAGGCGGAGGCGAAATCCCCTCCGACTCGGTGTCCCCGGCGCCGAGCGCGGCACGTTAGGATTGTTGACTGACTGCCTGACGGCCGGCGTGGGCCACAGGGCCGGCAGCCCCCGGGAGACACTCGAGGAAACGGGGTGAACTTCGGAGCTCCTTTCTCCGGGGCCCGCGGCCTGACTTCTTCCAAGACCTGTCACCGGGGGCTCCGTGAGAGCCTCCCGGGGAAAGTGAGGCACCTGCCCGCACCTCTGACGAAGGCCACTTGTCGCCGGAGCCCCGCGGCCCCTCCCCTCGCGGGCCATGCCGCCACCTACCTGACGCCGGGGCCCGCCGCGATGCAGGGCGGGCGCGGGAGACGGCGGCTCCGCTCTCCGGTCCGTAGCTGACTCCGCCGCCCGGAGCCGCCCGCTCCCGCCGGTGCCACGGCTACAGCTCCTGTTTACCGTACACGTCACTTCCCGCGCCGCCGGAAACGGTTTCCCCTACCTCTTCGAAGTGCCTGCTGGGAAGCTGAGTCTGAGGCGCGACGGTTAGACAGCAGGGACAGCCCACACCTCCGCTAGTCCTTTGCGCCGAGGGAGGGGCCGGAAGTCGCCTTTCTTCTTTCCCTGGGATACGCTGGCTGTGGAGGAGGCATGGCAGGAGAAAACATCCCCGCCCGACACGTGCCTTCGTTCGCTTTGCATGCTGGGAGTTGTAGTCGTGGGTCCTCCCCGGCAGGCGTGGGAGCCGGACTCGGGGTGGAGCCAGCGGAGGATATGAGCTCACGAGCGGAGCCTGGGGCGGGGGTCGGGGTCAGGGTCGGGGCGCTCCCTTGGCTGGACTGCGGGAGCCGAAGCGGGGGTCGGGGCCGCAGAGAGCCCTAGGGAGACGCTTCCGGGAGGAAGGTAAGAAAAGGGCTGCGTCCGTCTCGGAAGGGCAGGAGGTCCCGGCGCGGTGTGGGTGGAGAGGCAGGGAGGCTCAGCCGCCCGAAGCGCCCCGGGCCCGAGAGCCTGAGTGTGCCCCTTCCCCGCCGTCTGAGACCCGGCCCGGAGGAAGAGGAGGAGGAGGAGAAGGGATGGAAGCAGGAAGAAGAGGGGAAGGAGTGGGAGGAGGAGGAGGGATGGAAAGAAGAGGAAGGATGGAAGGAGGAGGAAGAGAAGGGATGGGAGGAAGAGGAAGGATAAGTGGAAAGAGAAGGGCGAGGGAGAGAGAGAGGAGGGGAAGGAGAAGGGGAAAAGAGAGGTGGAGAAAAAGGACGAAGGGAAAGAGGACAGAGCTAGAAAGAAAAGGAAGAAGAGAGGGTAGGCGAGGAAGAGATGGAAAGGAGGTAAAACAGAGATTCCTTGAGGGCAGGAACAGTTTTCTTTTTGATTTTGGCTCCGCGGTGCCTGCGCTGACTTACTGATGCTTATTGAAATTGACCGAAGGAAGGCCTGGCCGCAGTGACTGTGCTGATCAGGCCTCCCTCCAGGGTTCGGTGAAGCTCGGGTTGACTTGTGAACGCCTTTAAAATCTTGGGATGGAGGGAGGGAGCCTCCAGCTGCATCTCTCCTGCTGGTTTCTGCTGGCTTCTTTCTGTTTCCTGCGTCCATGGCAGGAGCTGGGGGGAGGGGTGGTCCAGAGCAGTAAAAATTCACTGTGTGAAGGATTGCTTTCCCTCCCCCATGACTATCCTTTCTTCCTGGGGCCCCTTTTTGCACCTCTTCCCAGGTCACAACTATTTCCTTCTGCTCTGTAGGTTCCTTGTCAGCAGGGTTTCTGCTAACCTAATTGGTTGAAGCACATACAACCAAGCCACATTAAACCTCCCAAAGAAATGACCCAACAAAGTCAGGAAGGAAGAGCAGATATCAATGGAAACTTCATTTTCCCTGGAGTCAATTTCAGGGCGTTACCTTTAGGCGAATTTGAGAGCCCATTGGTTCGGAGTAAAATGGAATCTGACCTCATTGTGTCCAGGAAAGGCTCCTGGCTCCAGGCTCCAAAGCTGTTGCACTGTAAGAGGGGACCAAGCTTGGCTCTTGGTGTGCTGATGGCTTCCAGTTGGAAAATCCCTTTGCTTTGTCATTCAATTGTGTGTTTTCTTGGCTTCCTAGGGAAGAGAAAGGGAAGCTTCAAAAAGCTCCTGAAGGCTTAACAGGTTGGAAAAGCAGAAAGGAAAATACTCTTTTGGTTAGATGTCACATAATTCAGAAGGCAGAGCCTACATGTAAGCAGAGCCTCTGCTTGCTTTTCTAGATAGGATAATAGCTCCCCTCAGTATAGGAAGATGCCTTCTCAGAATCCCAGAATGGCTGAGTCAGCAGGGGCCTCCAAGGCTACTTCTACTCCAACCTGTGCTTCAGTAATACCCTCCCAACATTCCGAGGTCGTGCTCCTTCCCTTTCTTGAAGATACATCCTTAAGGCAGAGCCCCCTACTTCCTGGGGCAGGCCATTCCACTTTTGACTGGATCTCCTTGTTAAAGAACTCTCTCACTCGGACATAAAACCTCGTTTCTCTCCAATTTCCACCCGTTGCCATTGTCCCAGCCTCTGCCTTCTGGGGTCCACTTTCAGATCCTTGTAGATAATTATCATTCTCCCCCCTCCCCTGCCCCACCCCACTAACTTTTGTCCAGGCTAAATATCCCCAGTTCCTTAAATCCTGGGTCTCCTACAGTTTATCCAAGGTCTTTTTTTTCTAAATCATGGCACCCCAAATTGAACACAGCGTTCCAGAAGTGGTCAGCTGGGAGCAGAATCCATCAGGAGTCTCACCTCTCCTCATGCAGCCAAAGACCATATTAATTTTTTTTTCTAATATTCTGCCAGTGCTATATATAACTCACTGTTGATGGCAAAGCATTGAACCTGCCAGATCTCTACCCACCAAACTACTCCGTAGCCACATCTGCTTAGCTGCTGCTGGCTGTATGACCTTGGTCTAGTCTTCTGCTTTCTCATCCACACCGTGAGGAGCTAGCCTCGGTGAATGCATCTGGTCTCTTCTAGCTCCATTCCTTCCTCTGATACATGATGCCACTCCCTTATCTTTAGCTTGTAAAGGGGATCTCTTTGGGTCCAACTGTAAGACTTTACCTTTATCACGATTAAATTTCTTCTTATTAGCTATGGCCCGACATTCTACCCTGCAAAGATCTTTTTAGATTCTGTCACCATCCAGAAATTTGGTCAGTAACTTTACCCTAGTCACCCCTAAAAATGGTAAACAGCATAGAGCCAAGCACAAATCCCTGGGGCACATTCCTTTAATGACTCTTCTTTAGTCATTCAGTGTCCAGCTCACATCCCTCTGTCTTGTCCAGAAGAGCAGCATGAGATGATGTCAGATCTTTGCTAAAATCTCGCTTCTCCAAGAGCTGGTCCCAGACAGCACTCACTCACCTACTTCTGGGTCTTTTCCCAGAAGTCTGGAATGCCTTCCTGCTACTCAGCCTAAATCCTTTTAGCTGTGGTTCCCACTCCAAAATCAGTATCTAATGAACACCTACAATGTGCAGACACTGTGAAGGATCCAAAAATAGAGTGTAATTCTTGCCCTATGAGAGCTTACAGTCTAGTTGGGGAGATGAGCCCGGTGTGTCTGTTCTATTCCAAGGGTAAGTGAACAACTGGGGTGCGCCTTGCTAATTGTTTTTTGGACCAAACTTGTGGTTTCATAGGTATAGGGAACTCCAAATGAGGGAAATTCCTCTATAAAAGCAGATCAGTGAAATGTATCGTTCTAAAGAGTTGCCTGAGGTCCTTGGGAAGTTAAGTGACTGACTCCAAGTCATTCAGGACTTGAACCCAGGCCTTCCTGACTTCCAGAACAGCCTCCTAGAAACGCCACCCTGCTGCCTTTGAAAGTAAGTGGGAGGAAAATCAGACACAGTCTGTAAATCCATGAGGTGTAGTCTCTCTCCCTCTATGCTTTCCCCTACCTCAGGCCCACTAGCATCTAGACCTCCATCTCACAAGGAATCCCCAGTGTTTCGGGTTCATCTCATGACTTTCCTAGAACATTTCCAGGGTCTTCTGCCTCCCCTCAGCAAAGATGAAAAGGCTGGGAACCTCTGCCCCTTTCTCAGGCAGACAATCTAGCCAGTGGCCTTCTGGTCACTTCTGGTCACACAGGAGAACTCTGAGGATAAGCATGAATTCAAGAATCAAGAACCCAGCAGCAGGAGGCCAGGGCTGGCAGTTCCCAAGAACGTTCTAGGTTTTCATGACACCTCTCTTCTGGGTCTCCTCCGACCCCTCTGACTGCTCCTTCTAGGGCTCCTTTTTGCTTGCTGCTCTTCTAGGTGACTCCTGAGCGTCCCCCGGGCTCTGTCCTGGGCCCTCTTCTCCCTTTAGACTATTTCATTTGGTCATTTCTACGTTGATGATTCTCACATCAGCTTATCCAGCCCTGCCCTCTCTGTGGACCTTTAGGTCTGGCAGTTGAAGATGCCACCAGCTTCATCTTAGCTTGTTCCAATATCCTCTCAAGTCCCCCTGCTTTTCACCCCAAGTGATGGCTCTCGATTATTTCCCACGTTTGTAATGGGGCTGGTTTTTCTTGCTTTCTCAATGTTGGGAGGACAGGAAGGGAGAGAATACAGACCAGAAAATAAAATGAAATCGATTTTTTAAAATTACTTTGTTAAAAAAAAAAAAGGAAGGAAGGAAATGTGGGAAGGGGAACCAGCTTCCTCCTTTTCTATTTCAGTGGACAGTTTAAATGCCTTTCACCTGAGTCCTGGGGAAGTCTTGTTTTGGGTAAATTCCCAGTTGGTTTGACTGCAGTGCTGGGATTTTGTTGAACCTTTGGGAATAGAATACACCTGGGATGGAAAGGAGTCCTATTCGTTACTTATAATGTCTCATATCTTTTTTTTTTTATTTTTTGCGAGGCAGTCAGGGTTAAGTGACTTGCCCAGGGTCACACAGCTAGTGAGTATCATGTGTCTGAGACCGAATTTGAACTCAGGTCCTCCTGACTCCAAGGCCAGAGCTCTATCCACTGTACCATCTAGCTGCCCCTCTCATGTCTTATTATAATAATGTCTCATACTATTTTTTGTTGTGCCTGCGAATCTCTCTGTCTGGTCTTCAGGGGTCCTCAGCTTGCTTCTGTCTCTTGGTAGGGCCCTTGGCCTGTGTCTCTAAGGCTGCCAAGCCGTTTTCCTGGGGGCCTGGAAGGACAAGAGGAACAGGGTGCTGCCAGACCATGGGTGCCATCTTTTTCCAAGTCGGCCTGGGTCATCTGGTACAATAAACCCCCTCCCATTGGAAAATAAGACAGCTTGGTACTTTGCCTCTGATAGGAAGTCTGAAGACTTCCAGGGGACTGGCCGGATTCTCAGTCTCACCAGGATTTTGATTGGTTGGCTAAGATTTAATTGGATTATTGGGAGCCTCTAGCTCCAAGTTCCCGCTTCTCCTGACTCCTCTTCTCTCTTCCCTTCTGCCTTCAGTCCTGAGATTATGAGGCTCTGGCCTCTGCCAGCTGCTTGCCTGTGACTTCCTCCACCACAGTGGAACGCCCCAGGCCCACCTCCTGCCGTGTGGTCATCTACCTGCAGCGGGAGATGTCCGGAGACACCTGCCTGGCTGGCCTGTGCCCAGCCTCAGGGTCTAAGCCCAAGCCAGGGGGCTTCAAGGGTGGTGGGATGGGCAACAAATACATCCAGCTCAACGTCGGGGGCTCCCTGTACTACACCACCGTGCGGGTGCTCACCCGGCACGACACCATGCTCAAGGCCATGTTTAGCGGGCGCATGGAGGTGCTGACTGACAAGGAGGGTAAGGACCCATGGCTGAGAAGGAAGCCCTTGGACTGGTGGGTCCCTGAGCAAACCTCGCATGACAGATGGGGGGCGTTCCCTTTCGTAGACTGGTAGAGCTGAGTGGGACATCCGAGGTGGTTTGGGCCATCCCTTGTCTTACAGGTAAGTGAGGGCCCAGAAATGAGTGACTTCCCCCGTCCATTCCTACGGCCCTTTGTAGAGATCACTTCCCACCCCCGTTCCTACTCATTGCTCAGAAACAGTAGAAATAAAGTCCTCTGGGGCCAGTAGTAATCACCCTGGATTCTGGTCTGAATTCCCAGGCTGGATCCTCATAGACCGATGCGGGAAGCACTTTGGCGCCATTTTGAATTACCTCCGAGATGACACCATCACCCTCCCCCAGAACCGGCAAGAGATCAAGGAGCTGATGGCAGAAGCCAAATATTACCTCATCCAGGGCCTGGTGGACATGTGTCAGACAGCATTGCAGGTGGGTAGAGGGGTAGACACCGGTGCTCACGCAGCATCCCTCCCCCCTCTCCTCCAGGGACTTGGGCAGAGACAGAATTTGGAGTAAATCCAGACCCGTGTCAGCATGCTAGGAGAGCCTCTGGCAGCAGACCGCTTATCTGGCATATGGTTGACTATCAGGTTGTCTTGAGGGGAGCATGGCTGCCTGTCTTTGCCTGCCTCTGTTGCTGTATCTGACTGAATCCTGTAGGCCGTCAGCCTGTCACTCGGTCTTTACTGCCCAGAGGGTGCTTACCAAGTCTGGCTACAGCACTGGCTGCACCAGGGCCTGCAGTAGCATGACCCCCACGAGGGGGTAAGACACCTGGGCTCTAGACTTTATCCTGCCACTAACTGAAGTGTGGCCTTGAGCAAGTCACCAGGCAGTTAGGGTTCACAGTGGATAGAGTGCTGGGCCTGGAGTCACATATCCAGCCTTAGAGGTTGACTAGCTAAGTGACTCGTCCAGGGTCACACAGCTAGTGACCCTGGACGAGTCACTTAGCTGCTGTCTGCCTCAGTTTCCTCATCCCCTTAAAATGGGGATAATAAAAGCAGCTACCTCTCAGAGTGGTAGGTCATTCTGAAGATAAAATGAGATGTTTGAGGGGCGGCTTGGTGGCGCAGTGGATAGAGCACCGGCCCTGAAGTCAGGAGGACCTGAGTGCAAATCCGGCCTCAGACCACTCGACATGTACTAGCTGTGTGACCTTGGGCAAGTCACTTAACCCCGACTGCCTCACCAAAAAAAAAAAAAATGACATGTTTGTAAAGCACATGACAAAACTTGAAGTCCTCTAGAAATGCTAGCTATGGGGGCAGTTAGGTGGCACAGTGAATAGAGCTCTGGCCTTGGAGTCAGGAGAACCTGAGTTCAAATCCAGCCTCAGACACTTGACACTTACTAGCTGTGTGAGCCTGGACAAGTCACTTAATCCCAACTGCCTCACAAAAAAAAAAAAGAAAAGAAAAGAAAAGAAATGCTAGCTATGATTATTGGTTATAGTTATCTGGTCCTATTCTGTGACAACCGTGTGCTCTGCGTGCATGCCCAAGATTATCACCTGTGATAACAGGCAGAAGTAGCGAAGCCTCCTTTTCATCCTCTGTAAAGTGGGAGCTGCTCTCTGTCCTGCCTGCCCCCTCAGGTTATGGAAAGCTTAAGAGCTGCCCTTGCCCTGCTGGCAGTGGCCCACAGAGGGGAGTTAGCAGCAGTCGCAGAACAGCCACCTCTCTCTGGGTCTCTCTCTCTCGCTCACACACGTACAGGATGAGAAGGACTCATACCAGCCCGTGTGCAACATCCCCATCATCACATCCCCAAAGGAGGAGGAGAGACTCATCGAAGCCTCCACTAAGGTAGTGCCACCACCCCGAGGGGCATCGGGGGGAGGGGAGGCAGGAGGCAGCCCCCCGCATCGCTTGTCTCTGCCTTCCCCCTGCAGCCTGTGGTAAAGCTTCTCTACAACCGGAGCAACAACAAATACTCCTACACCAGGTAGGCAGGATGCAGGGGGTGCGGGCACCCAAGGAGGAGCCACTGCCCACGTCGCGTTCTGTCGTCCATCCCTTTGGTCAGCTGTGGGCCCAGCGCCAGGCTGGCACAGAGGGAGGGAGGGCTCCCGTCTGCAGCCTTGGCCCCGTTCCGTTCTCTGCTCCGGAGGCCTTGGGCTCACTCCACACCTTCTGTCTTTTTTTTGGTAGCAATTCTGATGACCACTTGCTTAAGAACATCGAGCTGTTTGACAAACTGTCTCTACGCTTCAATGGCCGCGTGCTCTTCATTAAGGACGTCATCGGAGATGAAATCTGCTGTTGGTCCTTCTATGGCCAAGGCCGGAAGTTGGCCGAGGTGTGCTGCACCTCCATCGTCTACGCCACAGAGAAGAAGCAGACGAAGGTATGCCGGGAGGCCTTGGGGCTGGGGTGCTTTGTGCCCGGGGCTCCAGGCTGCATGGCCACCACCTATCTCTCAACTGGATCGATGTCTCAAAGCATCTATATGATGGTTTTGGCTCATGACCAGTGTCTTGGGGAGACATGAGAAATCTGAAGTCAAGGAGGCTTGGGCATGCATACAGAGTACATACAGGTAAGGAGTTTGCGGAAGTCACCAAGGCAGCTTCCCCAGTCTCACTGTACTGGGGCCTGGCGATGTCCAGGATAGGTCACGTCCAGGAAAGAAAGGGAAAGGGAGGAGAGCTTGTCCCTAGAAAAAGCCCCAAGTCTCCCTAAACATTTAGCCCAGGAGGTTCAAGTGTGTGCCAGTACAGCCAAGACCAAGGGGCTGATTCGGCTACTATGGGACCATGACCATTCTCAGGCACTTTCCCATCCATGATCTCAATTTATCGTCACAAAAACCCCATGAGGTAGGCGGATGAGAGAAGGTCCGCCCATTTCCTCACTGTGAGGAAATTAAGAGAAGGTAAGCTGATTACCGGCAGGCTGAAGCTGCATAGGACCTTGGGAATCACTTTGTCTAACACCCTCATTTGTCAGAGGAGGAAACAGAGGCTCAGGAAAGTAAAATTCCTTTCCCAAACTCAGCCTGGAGAAGACCTGAGGTCTCTGGACTTCCAAAAACCAAACTCTTTCCACCACACTGGGAGGCGAGGTCAGCCAGCCTCCACACCCCTCCATCCCCAATGTCCTGTCGACCTGTCATACAGTTCGGCTGTCTTCCTACAAGAAGGCCAGAGAGATTTCTGAAAGCATGAGGAAGCATTTTTTCCCATTTCTTAGATGAGAAAAACTGAGGCTCTGCGCCAAGGTGGGTTCTTAGTCCAGCTCAAAATGAGGTTTTGGCATTTGGGAGCTCCTTTCTGTGGTAGGCGAGCCCACAGTAGCTGATGAAGTTATGGGCCCGTGTTCAGAACCTCCCTGTAATCCCTCTGGTTTTTCTGGCCCCAGGTGGAGTTCCCAGAGGCCCGCATCTATGAGGAAACACTCAATGTCCTGCTCTATGAGACACCACGAGTCCCTGACAACTCTTTATTGGAGGCCACAAGCCGCAGCCGGAGCCAGGCTTGCCACGGCGAAGACGATGAGGCCTCTGAATTACGAGAGCGAGTCCGCCGCATTCACGTCAAACGCTACAGCACTTATGACGATCGGCAACTCAGCCACCAGTCCTCCCATCGCGACTGACGGCGCCTCAGGGCAGTGGGGCCCACACAGCCTAGGTTCCCCTTCTCCCTGGCGCACCCAGACCAGCATCACTTGTTGGGCGAGTGTACACCTTGACCCTCAGGGGTGGGACAGAGCCCCCAGAGAGGCTGAGGGGGCAGGAGGGGGAAGGACCTTCGTCAGGAGGACTGGGCATAGTTGGCACTGTTCCGCAGCTGCCTGGTTCCCTGCCTCGATAGCCCTACGGCATTGTTCTGCAGGTCACAGCCTTGCAGCCTGGGGATTAGCGTCTGCGAGCTCTTACTGAGGAGACCCTTTCATGGATCTTCTTGCCCTTCACAAGTTTGGGGGTGGGGGTGGGGCACTGCATCGTGGCCTATTTCTGGGGTCAGGAAGGGGCTGAGAATTCAGTTCTAGGGATGGAGAGGCCCTGGGCAGTCCCATGACTGAGCAGCCCCTTCAGAGAGGGGAAGGGGGCAGGAGACCCCCACTCCCCTTGGTCCTCTTCGGTCATTAGTGTAGTTTCTTCAGAATACTTTGTATTCTTCTGCAAAAAGATGCCAGCCCTGATCCATCAGATTCTCACCAGAGAAACAAGGTTAATCTTCCCATGTTCTCCTTTTTTTCCAAACCTACTCCTGCCCCTTCTCCCAGGATCCAGTTCTTGAGAGAAAAAGCAAGGAAAGGTCGGGCTTCATTTTGGATGAAATAAGCAAGGTGGCTGGCCTGTAGCTGTGAAAATGGACGGCATGCTCAGACTGCCCAGGGCCTGGGAAATCTGAGAAAAGGCTAAGTTCTCAGGCTGCCAAAAGTAGTAAGTCCAGCTGGAGAATCTGGCGACTTAGCCCCACAAACACTGAATTGGGCAGCATTGGTGGCTTTAGGAAGCAGGCGCCCCACTTTGGCCTTAGTGGAGCAATGATATGTAAAGGAAGGGCCCGAGTTCGGCCCCTTTGACTGGGTCACTTAGCTCATGAAATCTTTGCTGCCCAGGCATGGGAATTCAGACAGCTTCTCTTCAGGGCTGCAGGCCTCCCGTTCCCCACCTGGTTTAGCATGACCTTCAGAAAGCCTTTTCAGAATTTTTTCCCAGAAGAATGTGCCTATTGTGAAAGAAGCCAATGCCTTCTTCCTCCCAGGTGACAGGCGTTTTCCAATCAGTTCATTCCTCTCAACAATTGTTCTGCCTATGTTCTACTTCTCTAATCAACTGTGGCTTCTAGGAACCCAAAGGAAGGTGGCATTTGTTTCTTAGTTCTTTTTATTTTCAGAATCTTGAATGGCACCTTCCCAGCCATCTGCTAATTCTCCTGCCCTTCATCAGGGCAGGACACCTAAATTCACCTTTCTTTAGCCAGTTCTGCCAAGCCAGACACTTGGGATCTTTTCAAGTCTGGTCTGATTTTGCTAGAGTTGTCAGTGTTCCCACTCCTTTAGCCTTTAAGGTGAAAACCCTTTTAACAGGAGGTAGAAGACCCTGGGCTGGGGTGGGGGTGAAGGGATCTGCAGAGTCATAGAATGGCCTCACCCTCTCTAGCCTTTCTCACATAGAACTGAAGACGAGTTACTGGGCATTATCTTATGTTGCCCTAGATGAGACTATCAGAAAACTTGGTCTGTTGACATGCCCACTGCTGCTTTTACACGAAACACTATAGCTATAGGCAAAGTAGTTGGAGAATTTCCTTTAGAAGACACTAACTCCCCATTCAGAAAATAGAGACCTATTTTTCAAGTGTTCACCAGGAAATCCTTAAGTCACTCATCTCTTAGCTGTGGAAACTTTGACTTCAGCAGCCAGAGCAAATGAAAAACACAGGTTGGAGACAATCAGTTACTGGCTGGCTGCAGAAGCTGCCGCCACAGCCCTCCCCTACCCCTACTCCAGGTAGCTCTGGTGTTTGTTTTGTATAGCACTTTTGAAATGACCGTCCTATCTTTAAGCTGCTGTTTGTGTTCATTTTTTAGATCAGAACTGAATGACTTTCCCCTGACATACACCAGGGTGTCAGGAGAGAGCGCTATAGGTGTGCTATGGTGGTGGCGACAGAAGCTCGGGGGGAACTGATCTTTTCCACCCCTAGATACTGGGCCTGGAGCTCCAGACCCCCGTTTGGGCAGTTTAACTGCAAGCCAGCTCCCAGCTCGGGCTAGGCTCTCCTTCCATCTTGTACAATCCAGCTGCATCTGGCTCCAAGGGATTCTATAGTTCAGTTTCCCTTCTCTGCCTCAAAGGTCAGGTAGGCTCTTGGCTCAGTGAGAGCTTTGCTTTCCTCACTAACCTTTCACATGGCAATATTCCCGCTCCCTGATTAGCACAGGCAATGGAAGCAAACACTAATTTTTAATAAAATCCTGTTACGCTGTACGTCAGGGGGGAATTTATCTGTGTGTGATGTCGCTTGGCCAGTCTGGGGTAATTTTTCCATTCACCAAATAACTGTATCTCCCTCCTGGTTCCCAAGACCCACTGTGGTCCGGTTATTCTGCAGGCAGGCACTTACCGGTCAGAGCAGCAATCTAGTTTTTAACTCCTGAAAGAGGCCGCATTGCCCCCTGGGTCATAATAGCCCAAGCAATTCCAGCAGGACAGGGAAGATGGCCTACAGGCAACCCTACTCTTACTTTACATAGAAAAATACACTTCTTCAGGGGCAGCTAGGTGGCGCAGTGGATAGAGCTCCGGCCTTGAAGTCAGGAGGACCTGAGTTCAAATTTGGTCTCAGACACACAACATAGTAGCTGTGTGACCCTGGGCAAGTCACTTAACCCCAGCTGCCTAGCAAAAAGGCAAAAAAAGAAAAATACACTTCTTTACCTTCCAGATGAGACAGAAAACAGGTTCTCAGGTAGGAGAGGCCTCTGGGACCAGTTCTGTCCATCCCAATCATTTGATTGAGTTAAACCCAGGACCCCCTTTTATAATTTCTTTCCACACTGGCCCAGGAATCCCAATTGCTAACCAACCCTACCCCTAGAAGCTATGGGTGACCTTCCTCAGACAGCTCTGGTGACCTGTGTCCTCAAAAGCCTTTCTTGGGAAGGTGGATACAGTATCTAAAAACTGGACAAGTCGACTTCTCTTGTGACCCTTGGTGGAGACCCCTTCCATGCTCTCATCCTGCTGTTGTCAGGAACCGAAGAGAAGGGGGAAAACGCCTGGCTCCATACTTGCTCCACATCAAACGAGGTCAGGAGTGGCCAGGCCAGATGGCTTCTAACCAACAACCCCAAGCTGGAGAGGAGATGGTCGGGCCTGAGGTGGAGCTCCCTCGGGGGAAGGGTGCTGGGAAAAAAAGATCGTGCTCAGAGTTCTGGTGGTTTCTTTGCTCTCAGAAAGGGCAGAGGACCAAGTACCTGGTGCTGGAAGGGGGTGAGCCAGTGCCATGATGTAGAAATGGAGAGGGTGGCCAGGCGTGCACTGATTTATTGACCAAATCTCACACTCCGAAGCAACTCATAGAATGGGCAAGGGAATTCCCTCCTATTTCCTGTAGCAGCCAAACAGGTTGGGTTTCTGCTTGGGAAGGTTTACCGGAACATAGTGCGAGCAGAGCAGGGAAGGCTGGTTTTGGAGGAGCCCAATGTGGGTCTTTAGAGAAAATAGTTACACAACCCAAAAAAAAAAAACCACAACCAAATGGAACAAACTATAAGAGACGCCAAACCCATGGTGACCCATGAGAAGTGAAGGAAGAGCCCAATGTTCTGCAGCCATCGTGAGATGGAAATCACTTCAGGTCGGCCGAGGCTGGACATGGATCCTGAGCTGCCCTACCAGTGAAGGCCAGAAGGGGGTGTTTTCTCATCCTTATTGCTCTCCAGAGAGAAGGGGGGAATTCGGACATCAAAGTGAGAGCCATCAGGCCTCTCAAAGCGGAACGTGCCCCTACAAGACAAAAAAGAATCCAGTTTGAGGGGAGCTGTGGCCTAAGCACCCTCGTGCTCATTAGGAACCCCACTTTCTTGGCTATGGAATAAGTATGGGGAAAAGCAGCCCAAAGCTCTCATCTCCCCAGCATGGGGAAAGACGATGGCCCAGAAACACCCGGACTGTTAACCAGTCCTACATCTACACCTCCAGCACATGGTGGTGTTCCAACGGCACTGTCTTGTTCTAGGTCACAGGTTTGTAACCCAGAGTCAGTGACTTTTTTTTAAACATTGTGACAACTATGTTTCAATGTCATTATCTCCCTTTGTGGTCCTGCATGTTTTATGCATTTAAAACCATTAAGGGCTTCACCATCCCGCCAAACGGCCCCGCCCTAGGCTCTGACCTCCTGTGGCTGCTGGATTGCAGTGAGGACGCAAGGTCCACCAGCTGTCTCCCTGGCCTTCGAGGGGAGCCAACAAGTGAGCACCAGGAGGTAGCCCCTAGTGTGGAATCGGCTCCTCCCCCAGCCCTGGTGCCCAGCAGGGACAGCAGGGCCTTCCCAGGGGCTGTGCCAGGATGAGGGGCTCACTCACCACATGTGCCCGCTGGAGGCCTGCAGAGAGACGTGGCTACTGTACTGGAAAGCCGGCTGCTCCTTGGATAAGACAGGCTCCTGGGGACCCAAGAGAAGCACACAGAATCAGAGGAGGGTTAACGTTTAAAGCGAGGAGCAGCGGACGCTTCTGTCCCTGCTGCCCTGGCCACCATCAGAGCCCGCAGAGAAGAGCGTCAGGTGCCCTTGCCTCCGGACCCAGAGAGGAATGGACATGCTGGCCTGCACCGTCCAGCCCGCAGGTGCCGACTGACACGACCTGGCTGATGGCTTCAGTAAACACTTATTGAATGGATGGACAAGATCGCTGGTACCAACAGCCCCTGACTTCATCCCAGAGACGTCAATAAAGCGTTTGCCAGAAGTTCTGTCTCCGATGTTTATCCCACCCCCCACCCCCAGCCCAACTTACAAAGAGAAAAAATCGGAGGGGGGGGGAGTGTTAAGAAACGGGCCGGGGCCGAGCCTGCAGGGTGGCCAAGCACACAGCCAGGAAGGGAAGCTCTCAGCCTTACCCTGCCCACAACCCCTCGGCCTCGCACTGTCTCCAATGTGCCCGACAAGCTGAATATTCTCCAGTGACGTTCCCGAAGCTGTACAACATCACTGTCCAGGTTTTCCAAACGGATGCAGTAGCGCCACTGCCCGAGGAAAGAGAGGGTCAGGACCGGGCAGGGGGCAGCAGCTGGCCTGTTAGGCGTGACCTCTCCTCAACCCCCACCCACATCCTCTCTCTCCCTGGCCAGAAAGGAAGAACACAGCCCTCTCCTCGAGCACACACCATCGCCCTCCCCATCCCCCCACCCCTGAAGGCCTGACTTACCCAGTAGACGTGGGAATTCTGGGCCTCCTAAGGAGAGAAGCACAAAGACCATGAGACCACATCTGCTGGGGAGGGGGGAGAATCACAGGGCAGTTCCAAGGGGGTTATGGAGGCCAGAGCCTGCAGCAGGCGCCAGCCAGACTGTGGTGACTGTGAGCTGATGCAGCGACAGCGAGCCTGACGGCCCCTCCCCATCTCCTACCTATGATAGGACGGGGAGCTTCTGCCCTAGACCCTCACAGATGGCATCATGGTCCAGAGGCCGCCCCTTATCCAAGCATCTGCTGACTTTGTGCAGCAGTCATATGAGGTGCAAATAAGGGAGGGGAAGAGAAAGTGTAACCCAGCCAGAAAGAGGTCCAACCCCAGCCCTCCCTCCCACGGTCCTACTAAAGCAGAGGCCACGGGCGAGGATGCAGCAGGAGCCTGGGCCAGGTCAGGACCCTGGTACACAAGGGCCAGCTCTGGACCAGCCCAACCCTGAGTCAGGAGGGGCTGTTCTGCTGCCCACAGGAGGTGCTGGAGAAAACCTCAAATGAACCGAATATGGATACGGCCCCAGGAGAACCACATTTTCAGGCAGCAAAGGAGAGTGTGAGCACCCAGAGCCCACACCCAGTAGAGGGGTGCCCAGGGTGGGGACGTACCCTCATGCCCATGTAGAAGGGGATGACAGTGACACGGATGTTCTCGGTGGTTTCCCGATGGACGTCTGACAGCTCTAGCCAGGGGTGATTCTTCTCCTGCCAAGCTCGAAGGGTCTCCCGGGCCACAAAGGGCGGAACTGGGAGAGGAGTGAACCGGCCGGCTGACGCCAGGGCTCTGCTCTCAGGGCCCAGCCCAGGTTTCCTCCATCTTCTCTTGCTCAGACCCTCCCCTCCTCCCACCTCAGGAGACCCATGCCCCTATCCAATTAGACACTCAGACAAAGGAGGAGAAGCATGGGAAGGGGCAGGGGCCTGAGGACAAGCCCTAAGCCCAGCCAGAGCCTCTGGAAAAGGCTGTGATCTAAGACATCTCAAAGACCTCATGATGGAAAATGCTGTCCACATCCAAAGAAAGAGCTATGGAGTTTGAATGCAGATCCAAGCATACTATTCACTATTTTTTCCTTCTGTTTCATTTTGTTTCCTCTTTCTCGTGGTTCCTCCTATTGGTTCTAATTCTTCCTTACAACATCACTAATGTGAAAATATGTTTAATATGAATGTAAATGTATAGCCTATATCAGATTGTGCGCCGTCTTGGGGAGGGAGGTGGGGAAAGAGGAGGAGAAAAATTTTAAACTCAAAAGCTTACAGAAGTGATTGTTGATAAATCAAAATAAATTAATAAAAATAAATAAATTATTTTTAAAACAAAAAGAAAAAAGAAAAGGCTGTCCTACTCAGCCCAGCGTCTCTCTCAGGGGTACCTTTGGACTGCTCGTAGAGGAGAAACCTTTCAAACAGCTCATGCTGGATAGGGACCTGGTCGGTGGATGTGTAGGGGAGGATGTCTTCATGGCTGACATAGTCCAGTCCTAGGGAAGAAAGTCAGAGGAGCCCAGTGAGCCCCACAGAAGGGACTCACCAAAAGGCAGAAGTGCCCAGCCTGTGCCCATGGGGATCACATGGGGATGTGCCCTGAGATATGGGTCCATGCCCATCACTCCCCAGGGCTCCCAACAGGAGACCTTCACTGCTCCAGTGAGAAGGAAGCAGATCTAACGAGGCACCGAGGACTGGGCTGGCCCAGTTAGCTTCTTCAGCCCTGGGCAGTGGCTCCCACTAACTTGGGATCAGTACCACCACTCGGACAAATGGAGACATTTCTCGAAGAATCGTAGACACAGCCAGTGTCCAGCCCTCGCCGAGAATCCCTTCTCAGCCTGAAGGGGCCAAGGGGAGGGCAGCTCAGACTTTCCATCACCTACCTGGTATGGCATAAAGGGCTCGACTGTCATCGTGGTTGGCCAAGAACGTCACAGCTTCCGTCTGAGATCTCTGAGACTGAGGCAAGACAGAAGTTAGGGGGCTGGTCTCCACAGGACCACAAAGTGAGGGGACTTCATCCCTGGTCTTTGTTCTAGGAAAGACTAAGGCTCTGTGCTTTCCCATCCAGCTCCCACCATGCATACCTGCTGTCCCCACTAAGGCTTTCAGTCAGGGGCACTGGTCTCTCCCTTGGTCAAGGGAATCCAGGGCCCAATACCCTTGCGCACTTACTATGTGTGGGCAGTCCCGGGCATCAATCAGCACCTGGTAGTACGTGTGGGTTTTGCCTTTCACCTCCTTAGAGCCGTGGCCAGCTGGGTTCTCTGCTCTGGGTACGGGAGAGAGGTCTGAGCACAGCAGCCCCTGACTATTCCATAATCTACTTTCGTAGGGTTAGGACAAGATGGAGAGCTGGGGGACCACCTGAAGACTCAGCCTCCAACTGAGCTCCTCTCCCAAAGCGTTAGCAAGCCTCACTCTGAAGGCACTTTAGCGGTGACTTACAGTCATTCAGCTAGGAGCAAGTATTCAAAGTGACCCAGCAAATTTTCTCCTGGGGGGTAGCTCCTAGAAACCAAGGGCATCTGTTGGCAGAGCTCAGGCCTTCCTTTTTGTCCCTCTGGCACTTAGCACTCTTGTGCCCATCACTCAATGATGCCACCAGAGCACTTGAGCATGCTATCAATCACCCGGGGAAATGCTGTCCTCACCCCTGGGACTCATGACTAGCTGCTTTCTTCTCCCCGCAGACTGCTCCCCTGACACCACTCATAAGACACAAACGCAGCAGCGAGGCTTACTTTTCTGGGGCGGCAGAAGCCACATCACGGTCGTACAACCTGGCCTGCCAGGGAAACAGGACGACCCCTCGGTACCCAAATACGCTGTGAAGAAAGAGCTGTAAGAGAAGAATGGGGTGGTGAGCCCGGGCGGGCTAGCCCCCGCCTTGGTCTCCGGACATCCTACAGGCAAAAGCACGCCCCGAAGTGATGCCGCAGCCACAAGCAGAGGTGAGCGAGGAGCGAGGGACGACGGCGCCCTGCAACGCAGAGTGGCACAGCGTCTGTTCCTGTGAGCCCTGAGATCGCTCCCCTCCTGGGCACATTCGAGGGACCTTCTTCCACTTGCATCTCAGCCTCCCTACACACACTTCAGTGGGGACCCCTGGGCACGTCACTTCACCCCTCAGTCTGTTTCCTCATCTGTAAAATGGGGATAACAGCAGCACCTACCTCGGAGAGCCGTTGTGAGGATAAAGTAAGGCCATGCACATACACAGCACGCCAAGCTCTAGGCAAACACTGGCTGTTATCATTCAGGCCACTAGGGGGGCGCCACAGTGCCCAGAGCCCCAGGCCTGGCTTGGGAATACTCCTCAAATCCCGCCTGAGACACTTACTAGCCGCGGGACCCTGGGCAAGTCACTCTACCCTGTTTGCCTCATTTCCTTATCTGTCAAATGAGCCAGAGAAGGAAATGGCAAACCACTCGAGTGTCTCTGCCAAGTAAACCCCAGACAGGGGCACAGAGTCAGGCCCAACTCATCACCCCCTCTGCTAATCTCACCCCACACCTCAGCACTGGTTCACGTGCAGCACCAGCTCCACCCAGCCCCAGCCACCACAGCTGAGAGGGCCTGCAGCTCTCGCCTGCTCCCCGGCACTGAACTCGTCACCCCTAAGAAAGGCAGATGGGGCAGCTAGGTGGCGCAGTGGATAGAGCTCCGGCCTTGGAGTCAGGAGGACCTGAGTTCAAATCCGGCCTCAGACACTTGACATTTATTAGCTGTGTGACCCTGGGTAAATCACTTAATCCCGACTGCCTCACCAAAAAGCAAAAAAAAAAAAAACAAAAAAAAGCAGCCAATGCAGCTACCCTGACGCCCCTCCCCCCGCTCACCTGGCCCGTCTCATATTTCCCATTCTGCTTTGGCACCTCAAATACGCCGACTGTTTCCAACACTTTGCCCTCTGGTCGGTTTCTGAGGAGAAGAGCATTGAAGTGAGCGGCTTGGGATGCTCCATCCATCAGGAGAAAGTACTGAGACACTGAGCTGAAGGGACAGAGCCGTACCAACGACCACCAGGCAGGTGATTTGTTTTGTGGCCACTGGGGGCAGTAAAGTGCTGGACCAGAGTCACAAAGATCTGAGTTCAAGTCCAACCTTAGACCCTTACTGGCTGTGGGACCCTGCCTCAGTTTCCTCGACTGCAAGATGGAGATAATAAACAGCACCTACTTTGCCGGGTTACCATGCCGATCTATAAAGGGCTTAGCCCAGTGACTGGCACACAGTAGGCACTCTGTAAGTGCTTATTCCCTCCTCTCTTGCTTTTGAGAGACAAGCAAGGGGTCTATAAAAGGTTCCACATCAGGACAGCCCACACCTCCCCAGGAATCGTCCCTAATTCTAGACACTACAATAAATTTAACCTTCTGTTTCTAGTCTGAACTGGGGAGACTCCCTGCAATCTCATGTGCTTTGGGGGTGCTTCTCAGATCCCCCAGAACCTCCCAGGCTTCTCCATCAGAAGGGAAGACCCTAGAGCTCTCCTGTCCCCCCCAGCCACCACACCCTTCACTGCAAAGATACCAGCTACCAGCTCCACAGATGAAACCACACCCCCTTCCGCCGGGTCTCCAACAGGAGCCACAGGAGAGCCTGGGAGTCCTTCTGTTGTCTCTGGCCACATTTTAGACCTCAGAGAAGCCAATGCTCATGTATTGGAGACCCAGGATGTTCAGGCCTAAGAATTAGGCCTAGAAACTATGGCCAAAGGAGAAGGCAGCCTGGCACAGGCACACGGCACAGCTCTGAAGTCGGAGGCCAGGGGAGGGGAAGGGGGGCCTGCTTCAGGTGCTCACTGTGTCACCTTGAGCAAGTCACACAACCACCCTGGGTCTCGGTTTCCTCATCTGTAAAATGAGGGAGTTGGACTCAGGGGTGCCAGGTGCCTCCTAGCTCTAATCGGATCCTACAATCCACCTGCAGGTTCCCTCTAAGACCCCCAAGTCCAAATACCCCTGGCACAGTAGCATTGTGGGCCCTGCCAACCACAAACCTTAACAAATACTGGATTAGCAGGACTCAGTTTTCGGCTTCTTGGGGGCCCCTTCCCCCTGCATGCTTAGCACTGAGGATTCTAAGACCAAAAATGAGCCTGGCCCTATCCCCAGAGAGCTTACATTCCACTTGCCTACCATGTGCTAACAACAGACGTAAAACAGAGACCAGCCTCTCCAGGCTCGGGCAGCTTAGATCCTCCTGGCTCTTGGGCATCTTGTACAGACCTGTCCAGGAGGCATCTCACGATGAACCGAACTCCTCCCACTACCCTAACGGCCCACCATCCAGGGGTCACAGCACCGTCTTCTCTCCCTCAGCTGCCACACTGGCCATTTTTACCTCTAACTCCCTCTCTCCATCCTGGCCCCAAGGCTCTCTCCACGCAGCTCAGGCCTGACCATGGACCTGCTCAGGCTCAATGCCTGCTGTGGCTCCCTGCTTCCCCCAGATCAAGCTCCTCATAACCATTTTCCAGACTTACACCTTACTCCCAAACCTAAGACATCCTGCTTGCGATTCTCAAACACGGCACTCCATCCTTCATCCCTGGGGGCTGTCTCCTGTCCTCAGAATGCTCGGCCCCCTCAACTCTGCCTCCAGTTTCCTTTCTTCCTTCAAGGCTCAATGCAAATCCCACCTTCCACAGGTGCCATCCCCTTGAAGGCCTTCCTTCTGGGTGTACTACTGTTCTCTCCATCAGACTGGGAGCTCCTCGAGGGCAGGGGCTGTCTTCCTTTGTAACCCCAGCACCTGGGACAGGGCCAGGCACACAGTAGGTGCTTAACATCTGCTTACTGACTATGAGCCCAAGCATGGTGCTTACATCCCTCTGTGGATAACCTCCAATTCATCGTGCTTATATCTTCCTTGTACAGTTGTTTTTCATCCTGTCTCCCTCAGCAGACAGTGAGTGCCACGAGGACAAGAGCTATCTTTTGGTTTGGTTTTCTTTGCAACCCTAGCACTTGGCACAGTGTCTGGTACCTAGCAGGTGTTTAATAAATGTTTGTTGTCCAACTGTGTTAGGTGCTGGGGATGCAAAGACACACATACTCTAAGTAGCTGGGTGACTTTGGGCAAATCAATTAACTTCTCAGAAACCTAAAAGTTAGCTCTTTCTATGATTCTAAGTTGTAAAAATAAAATCCCCATCCTCAAAGAGCTTCATACCTAGGCACTGTGCTAGGGGCCAGGAGGTTAGCTCTAACTTTCTGAGATTCTAGACCTAAAAAGTAGTCTCTACCCTCAAGGTGCTTCTGTTCTACTTACCTATTACTGCATGGTCCAGGCACTGAGGATAGAAAGACAAAAACAAGAGTCCCTGCCCTCTGGAGGCTTACGCTCTACTTGTCTATTATTGTGTCCAGTCCCTGCCCTCTCGAAGCTTATACTCTACCCGCCTGTTATTATATGGTCCAGGCACTGGTCCAGGAGCTGTCCAGCCAAATCCAAAAACAAGAGTCCCTGCCCTCTAGAAGCTTATACTCTACTTGCCTGCTACTATATGGTTCAGGCCCTGGTGTAGGCACTGGAGATATAAAGACAAAAACAAAAGTCCCTGCCCTCTAGA